GCTGTCACCATTTTGAGAAGCGTATTAATAAAAGCAGAAGTATGTTGGTGCATTGGGAGGGATCAGGGGATAATAGTCAACTGACTTCCATACAGTTATCTTGGAGCCCCCGGTGACGCAATGGGTTAAACCCCTGTGCTGGCAGGATTGAAGACCAACAGGTCGTAGGTTCGAATCCGGGAAGAGCATGGATGAACTCCCTCTGTCAGCTCCAGCTTCCCATGCAGGGACATGAGAGAAGCCTTTCACAAGGATGGTTTATATATCAAAACATCCAGCCATTGCCTGGGCAACATCCTTGCAGATGGCCAATTCTCTCACACCAGAAGCGACTTGCAGTTTCTCAAGTTGCTCCTAACACACATACACAAACACACACACACAAATACAGTTACCTGTTCCCTGTTCTACAATGGTTTGTCTGGATTGAAATATGCCCAGGAAAATGCACAGAGTAGGTGTATATGTGCAATCTGCTGAAGTTAGAAGACACCAACAAAGCATTTTCTACATTTAAGGGGTTGAGAAGGGTTGTGCCAGAAAGAAGGGGGATCAAAGAGCCCTGTTGCCCCCTTGGAGGAGGAATTAAAGCCTGCAACCCCATAAGTTTATTATCATTTTTAGTATGTCAACAGCAAAAGATGAAATGGGAATAGAATGCAGTTCCAAAAAACTATTTTTAATGGACAAAAGAGAGAGAGAAAGCTTGTAAACTAAAGCGGGAATAAAATGTTCAGCTCCATACCCAATGGCACAATATTTTTGTTTAAAAGGATAAGGGTTATTTTTTTCTTGCAGATAGAGATCTAGTGTTGGATTGGGGGATTTCTCTCAGTCATTCATTTCTGTATTCCAATTTGGATATTCATAAACACAAATTGAACAACCAGCTACCTTTCTCATAATCACAAATGGGAAAATGTTGTAGTGGATTTTGCCTGGGGGCATTTTTAATACTAGGTATATGAGCTACATAGTTCCTATTAAAGGATTAGAGGACTATCCACTGCTCTGTATGCAAGTACATGGTGGTTAGATACAATTTTAAAAAATTCAGAACTGCATAGTGGGGGGTGGGGCTTAAATTTTCCAATAAAAGAGGGAAAACTAAGAAAAACTCAAAGATGATAGCACTGTAGATAAATAGAAATAGCTACCAGTTATGAGGGAACAGTTATGCCATTTCTTTAGAGCAGTGGTTCATAATCTGTAGGCCTTGGACCATCAGTGGGCCACAAGAATGAAAATTTGGTCCGTGAGCCTCCTTCCTCTTTATTTATTTATTTTATTTACACTCATTTCACGGAGCCTGCCACTCCTTCCTTGTCACTGACCATGGCATATATTCTGTATCAGAAACTAGAACTGATGTGGTCTCTCCAATGCAATTTTCTGAATCAGCACCCCAAACCGAATCTAAAGCTGACCAAAAACTGATTCGTAACAATTTTGGTACTAATGTTGGAGAGTGTTCCCTAGTCATAGTGGTCCCTGGTCAAGTGGTCCCTGTTCAAAATGGTCCCTGGTCAAAAAAGGTTGGGAACCACTGCTTTAGAGGATGCAAATGCAATTTTCTGAATCAGCACCCCAAATCAAATCTAAGGTTGACCAAAAACCGATTTGTAACCCTTTTGGTATTAATGTTGGAGAGTGTTCCCTAGTCAAAGTGGTCCCTGATCAAAGAGGTCCCTGTTTTTGTTTTTGTTTTTTTAAAAAAAGGCTGGGAACCACTGTTTTAGAGAATACAAAGGACTTGGAATTGGGTGGATAATGGGTTGGATATATGATTAAAGGCACCAGATCCTGTCTGGTCTTGGAGGCTAAGCAGGGTCAGCTCTAGCTTTTACAGGGGAGCGGGAACACAAATAACAGGAAAGAAACAAAATGTATAAAAGCATAACTTCCATGGAGGCTTATGTGTGGATTTCATTTCACAGAAACTGTTTTGATACCTGAAGTAAAAGAGGTTGAAGCTGAGGCTGAGGCTGCGGCTGAGGCTGCGGCTGAGACTGAGACTGAGACTGAGACTGAGACTGAGACTGAGTCTGAAAATAAGGCATCAGAAACATGTCTGCTCCCAGGGATATTCGGTGAGTAGATCAAGCAGGAAGGTAATGTGGGAACATAATATTTTGTAGAAAATTATGTGTTTGCCCCAATGAAGGGAACCACATTTCATTTTTATCTAGCAAATACCAGTCATTGCTGGGGTTTTTGGAGATGAACACTCAGTTAGCACTATGAACACTCAGTTAGCAAAATACTGCCCAGTGGTGATGTAGTGATTTTAGTTATGCAGATATTCCAATTGTACAGGGAACCCTGGGCATGGAATCCAGCTGCCTTTAATAGAAAGACTTGATGTAGATTCATAGATAGAGATGTATGTTCATGGTTTGCTCTCTGTTTAGGATTTGCTCAGGGCTGTAGCAGAGTTCGTGGAAAGCTACATGAAACCAACCAAGATAACCTGGAACTTCTGAGCACCAGAATGGGAGCAAACATTCCTCGAGAGTGCATCAACGATGTAATCAGCTTCTCATCCAGATCAGGTGAAGACAATCTTCCAAACATTTATGAATACCAGCCAGGAAATGCCACAGTAGCCGCAGATGAAATCCTCCAACAGATTGTTTACACCTTGAGTCAAAACCATGAGAATTTGTCTTGGGATGACAAATCCATAGCTGTTTTCAAGTTGGGATTGGCCCAGGAAATTGTGACACTGGGATCATGTTTGCACGGAGGGATGGAAGATACTAGAAATGCAGTGAGGAAATACTTCAGACAAATCAATAAACTTCTGAAGGAGAAGGAGTACAGTGAGTGCGCCTGGAAGATTGTCCAGATGGAGATTAGGCAGAGTTTAACGATGGTTGATCAACTCATCGCAATGTTCCCCAAACAAAGGTATGCTGCACTTTTCAAAACTATAGTTTTGAGATTTATGTATATATCCATGCTACTTGTCTCCTGGCCTGGGATTCACATGAGCTTTTACAAAAACTTAAAACAAAATAAACTGCAATCTCATTATATAAGTTAAAAAATATAATAAAACTAGCTATGCCCCGCCACGCGTTGCTGTGGCCCAGTCTGTTAATCTGGAAAATAAAGTAATGAGAACATGTTGGTTTCTAATATATGTAATTCCTTTATGCTTGTGGGTAAACAAGCATAAAGTCAGTGTTGATGTGGAGAGTGTCTGGTTTGCCCACCCTGGAACATGCAAGATATCATTGTCCTTCTTTAAGGTTCCCTTTCAAACCTATGATACTATATCTGTGTGTGTGTGTGAATCTTATCTCTCTCTCTCTCTCTATCTATCTATCTATCTTTCTATCTATGGCTGGGTGGCTCTTTGTCAGGAGGACTTTGATTACGTTTTCTTGCCCTGATGAAGGGAGCTGGATTGGATGGCCTTAAGTATTTTCTGTTGGTCATGGGGGTTCTGTGTGGGAAGTTTGCCCCGATTCGTTTGTGGGGTTCAGAATGCTCTTTGATTGTAGGTGAACTGTGAATCCCAGTGACAACAACTCCCAAATATCAAGGTCTATTTCCCCCCAAACTCCATCTGTGTTCATATTTGGGCGTATTGAGTGCTTGTGCCAAGTTTGGTCCAGATCCATCATTGTTTGAGTCCACAGTGCTCTCTGGATGTAGGTGAACTACAACTCCCAAACTGAAGGTCAATGCCCACCAAACCCTTCCAGTATTTTCTGTTGGTCATGGGAGTTCTGTGTGCCAAGTTTGGTTCAATTCCATCGTTGGTGGAGTTCAGAATGCTCTTTGATTGTAGGTGAACTATAAATCCCAGCAACTACAACTCCCAAATGACAAAATCATAATTTTGAGTGATGGTCACTCCTTGTGTTGTGAGACGTTTTGTTGCCAAATTTGGTGTGATTTCGTTCATTGGTTCTTTTGTTTTTAAGGTACTCATTATGCACAGAGCATTTATATATATATAGATAACCAATCATTTCAGAAGCACAAAGCTAAACCAGTTTAAACACATTTAAACATACTTCATTAAAAGATCTTCCTACAAAATGAGTTGAGCCCAAATAATAAAGATGTATTTGCTTTCCAGTAGTAAGAGAGGAAAGAGAAACTCAACCAAAATTCCCAAAGCTGTCACTCAGGCCTCATCTACACTGCCATATCATGCAGTTTGAAGCTAGTCTGGAACTATGTGATGCAGGGCTTTAAAGGTCATGACCAGCACATGATGGTTATGACCAAATTTCGGATGGACTTGCCCAACATTTTCCTGCTTATGTTGAAGAGCATAGGTGCAAAACTGAGTCCTGGGAGATCCCACAGGCCAATGGCCAGACCCCTGAACAGTCATCCCACAGCATGACCTCTCCCCTCAAAGAAGGACCAGACCCACTGTTAGAAATCGTATTGACATCCCTCCCAGAAGGATACTATAATCAATAATATCAAAAGCTACTAAGAGATTCAGCAGAATCTGCTCCCCTCATCCAACACTCATTTTAGAGAATCTACAGAAGAAATTAAATATGTTTTGTGCCCCATTGCCAATTCTGAAGCCAGCTATCATACTTTAAGGAGGCTTAAATTGCTATTCCCAACCAGAAAATTCATATTAAGGCTGCCTCTCTGAGGGTGCATTTATACTGAAGAATGAATACAGAGTGAAATCGCTTTAAGTGCCATGGCTCAATGCTATGGAATCCTTGAATCTGTAGTTTGGTGAAGCATGAGCACCTTTTGGCAGAGAAGCCTCAAGACCTTGTAAAATCCACATGATTTCATAGCACTGAGCCATGGCACTTAGAGTGGTGTCAGACTGCATTCGTTCTATAGTGTAGATGCACCTTGATTCTGAGTGGAGTGTAAACACATTAGAAAATCAAAATAGCATGGGTACATGCCAGAGTTAGAAGCAACTAATTATTTTTGTTACATACTATTTTTTGAGATAACAAAGGCACAACAATGTTAATTTTTCAAGCTGTTAATTAGGGGTAATATTTACTCAGACCATGCTGTGTCATCCTTGCAGTAGAAAGATACATTGGGACAGTTGGTGACTGGGTTTTAGGAAGTAGAGGGGGAAAGACTTGGGAAGGGGCGTGTCACCTTCAAGTCACCTGTTGACTTATGGAACCCCATGAAATTCATAGGGTTTTCTTAGGCGAGGAATACTCTGAGGTGGTTTTGCCAGTTGCTTCCTGATATACAGTGTTCCCTCACTTATCACAGGGGTTAGGTTCCAGGACCACCTACAATAAATGAAAAAACGCTATGTAGGGACGCTATACTGTATATGTACAGTATAGCTCAACCCACTCCTCTCTTCCCCTCCTCTCTCTCTCTCTCTCTCTCTCTCTCTCTTCCTCTCCTCTTTCCCCCTCCCTTCCTCCCTCCTTCCCTCCCTCCCCCTTTCTCTTGCTGGAGCCACCCTTCTCCCTCCCTCCCTGCTTCCCCACTGGAATGGACCTCTCACCCGGTCACCTGAGGAAGAAGCCCCAGTGGAAGCTGCCTTGGCAGCCCTCTCTGGTCTCTTTGCCAGCCAAACACACACCTCCCTTGCAGCCCACCACCTTCGCCAGCCAGGACGATGCTTCCGGCTTCCGAGGAAGAAGTCCCAGCAGAAGCTGCCATGGCAGCCCTCTCTGGCCCTCTCCGGGCTCTTTGCCAACCACACACACACTGGTCTGTGAGTAACTCTGTAACTCAAGTCTGTGGCCGCATCTATGCTGGAGAAACAACACACTTTGATAATGGGAATACAGTGTTCCCTCGCTACTTGTATTTTAAATTCTTTTTTAAAAAAAACCCGCAAAACAGCGAATTTGTGTGAAGCAAACTGCAAAACAGTGAGGGAACATTGTATAGCCTACAGTATGTGCTATTTCTTTATGCCTTTCCATCCAAGTACTAACAAAGAAGGCTAAGATATTGAATAATCTTGCAGCTGTCACCAGACCAAAGAAGGATGATGCTGAGACCTCAAGCTGATGTACTCATTCGGAAACATCAGGTAAGCAAAAAAAAAAAAAAGCAGGAGGATCAACTGGGAATAGATTGTATTGTATGGATGGGATGGGATGTATGACAGCATTTATTTGCAATTTCTGGTCACCTAGAAGTTTATGATACATTATCTTTTTAAGTCTAATTTATACAGTACAGTTATAGCATGATAATTCCTCTTCTGTGACCATATAGAATCCTCTTGGGAGCTGTGGTTTGGCAAGTCATTAGCGATGTCTGTAGGATTGGGATGGGGAACTTTACCAAGAAGCTGTTTACATTCAGATAATACCCAACTCTAAGCAAAACATTTAGTATTTAGAAACATACAGTTTCTTCCTTTGGAAAAGTAAGTACAACTCTTTTCTTATTGACCTCACACATCTGATTGGAGACTGCAGTCAAGAAGCCCAAAGAAGACTAAGGATGTATCTACACAAGTGGTTCCCAACCCTGTGGTCTGGAGACCACCAGTGGTCCACAAGAACTAAAATATGGTCCACAGCCTCACTATTACTACTATGGATAATAACACAGCCCAACCCCCCAAAAAAAGTTTGGTGTCTTCATTTTCAGGACTATTCCTGGGGTTATTTGGAATGCTGATTCAAAAAGTTGCATTGGATAGACAACATCAGTCTAGATTATTAAATATGGTTTTCTGTGGGTGAGCAGATGGCAACTACTGGATGGCATATGTTCTGTATCAGAAACTAGAACTGAAGTAGTCTATCCAATGCAATTTTCTGAATCAGCACCCCTAATAACGAAACCGAATCAAAAGTTGATCAAAAATTGATTCGTAACTCTTTTGGTACTAATGTTGGAGAGTGGTCCCTGATCAAAAAAGGTTGGGAACCACTGATCAACACTGTAGAATCAATGCAGCTTCACACTGTTTGAACTGCCATGGCTCAATGCTATGGAATCCTGGGAGATGTAGTGTGGTGAGGCACCAGCAGTATTTGGCAAAGAAAGCTAAAGACCTTCCAAAACTACAGCTCCCACAATGCATAACATTGAGCTATGCCACTTAAAGTAGTGTTAAACTTCATTAATTTTACAGTACAGATTTAATTTAGAACTGGAAAGGGAAGCCATGAAAGATCTAGACAAGATCCTGACATTTATTTATTTCATATCAAAAGCATTGCATAAATTAGTATAAAACTGATAAAAATACAAAGAGCACAAGCGGCTAAATTATTTATTTATTTATTTTTACCAAAAATTGGTAACAGCGAACACATTGTCTGTATACAGATGCAGAGTTGTCTGTTCTGCTCCACAGTTGCACAACGTAGAGGATTCATTTAGGTAGTGCCATTTTGCCAGATTGTCTTTTGATCTGCCTACTCCACTTCTGAGTCTGTTCAGGGACTTCCAAGTTGTCCATTCTTGGTTTGCTCATGGAGGCAGCTCCTCATTGGGGGGGGGGGGGCATCCAATTGGGATTTCCTGGTTTAGCTGCCCAGAAGGATACTCTTGCTTTTGCTAGGGGAACATTAAGAGGAGTGGTGGTTCTCATGAAGCTTTTCGTCTACTGGGGGGAGGCTGATAGCCATGCAGTGGATGGCTTTCACAGTATTCAATCTTATTTCTCTCACAGTTAGCAGCAACTTCCCATCGCACATCGGGGGGGGGGGGTGCCATGAAATTTAAAGGATTGAATAAAGATTGAGCACCCTGTAGCCAGAGTACCAAAATCTAAAATATTTCAAAATTGTTTATATGGAAGACTGAGATAGTGACACCTTTGCTTTCTGATGGTTCAATACACACAAACTTTATTTCATGCACAAAAATACGATAAATATTGTGTAGACAATTGCCTTCAGTTTATGCGCATTAGATGTATATGAAACACCAGTGTTAAACACCCTGATGGAAGTGTCGGTATAAAGTCAAACTCAACCATTTCTCAGTTCACAACAATATGATTTATTCCTTTCCATTCCTGAACACAGTTACAAGATCCTTTCAATAAAAATGTAATTCAACACTTTAATGTAATGTATTGTTGTATTTGGGCATTGAATGTTTGCCTTTTAGGTTTGGAATCCGTCCTGAGTCCCTCAGGGGAGATAGAGCGGAATATAACTAAAGTTTTGTTGTTATTATTATTATTATTACTATAATTATTATTGTTATTAATTTTCGGAGATATCTACAATGTATGAAAAGCCTTTATGTGTTATTCAAAACGTTTCATTTTGGAAATCCTGAGAGAGAGAGAGTTTTCACTTTAAATACAGAGATCTCACCCTTTTTTTTCTTTCTTTCTAGATTTACTAGCAGTCAATGACACAACGATCCAAGCAAAACAGCTGGATGAAATTGCAACATGAAGAAAGTCACCAAATCTTTCATCTTTCATTGGGTTTTCCCTCTGACACATTGCTAGAAATCAAAACTGCTGCCTTCCGCTTCATCTGTTGCGAAATTGTTTCACTGAGTTTTAAAATAGCACGACACAATTTTGAACTACACACAGGCCTATCTTGGAGATTTACATGGAAAATAAATGGGGAGGGGGGATGAAAATATAAATGTCCAGGAGAAAAACAAAACAAAAAAAGATTAAAGGCAGAAGATTCTGTGCAAGATTTTGTCCACCTTCTGTTAACCTGTTCACATTTAATTGGCGGAATGTCGCTTGCCTTTGAGGACAGAAATAACTTTGTTAGCAAGTTCTCTCTTCAACCATTAAAGCCTGATACGAAAAGGTTATTTTCATTTTAGAAGCTATATCTGCTCATATTGCTAGTCAGCTCACATGCATGAAGTCATACATTTATTCTATACATATTTATTCTGTATTTTCATGGAATGCAATGTTTCTTTCTATAAAAACTTATTATTCTGAAAACAAGAGTAGTTTGTTTATCTACATTAGCAGGAGTCTGACAATATTTTTAGCTAACAGAGTTGTATTTCATTGCAGAATCTAAACAGAATCAGTCCTACAACATAGGCGTTGTATCCTATGGTTATCTGAGTGTGAATGAATGGCTCTCTGAAAAAGCCATTCAATGCTTTTTGTGACTTGAAAATAAATAGAATAAACATAAAAGTGTGTGGGGGGGTCTGTATAAATCTGATCACTTTGGTCGTATTCCAACAACCTGTACAAAACAAATACAAAGAAGGCTGTGGGGAGGAGAAGATTACTTCACATCCATACCCTTTACTCATCACCATCCCTACCTAAGGTTTACTTTCATGCAGCAGATGTTAAAGTTCACCCCTGTATCCATGGATTCATTCATTCATGTCTTGAAAATATTGGGTAAAATATCCAAAAAGAAAACCTTGATTTTGTTATTTGATATAAGGGACGTCATTTTATGATGCCATTGTTTACAACGGGATGAGCATCCACATGGTGGGACCTGGAACCAAGACCCAGTGGATATGAAGAGCCTTTTCTTCTTTGTTAGGCAGATGTCCTAGCACCTGTCATGTTATATTTACATACATAAACACAGTTTTCCCATCCGGATAAATATTATATGCCCTCCCTCTTCCTTCCCCATGTGATTGCCTGCCCACCCAAATGAATGGTTGACTTAGATGGGGAGAGGAGAAGGGTAAAGAAACATTTTATTTTTTCTTTCTTCATCCATTGTTTTTCTATGTTTATGATCACATGTGATGTTCACACTCATGGGCTGCACCTACATTACATGTGTCAAATGCAATACCTACATGCCAAATCTGGTTTGCCAAGTCATTTTAAGTGGCCTGCAAGGCTTTCATGCCAGGGAAACATAGGCTCCATCTGCACTGCTATATAATCCAGTTTTTAAATCCAGATTATCTGCTTTGAACTGATTTATATGGCAGTATATACTCATATAATCCAGTTCAAATCTGATAATCTGGATTCAGAAACTAGATTATATGACAATATAGATCCACCCATAGTTATGTTTATACAGTTTTACAATTAACTGGCCCTTTGAAGGCAACCATAAGGCTGATGCAGCCCTTGGTGAAAATTAGTTCAGCACCCCTGATCTACACTGTAGAATTAATGCAGTTTAACTTAGCTTTAACTGCCATGGAGCGAGACTATGGAGTCCTGCAAGCTGTAGCAAGGAAAGGGTGAAGTACTATTTGGCAGACAAGGTTACAAACTACAACTCCCATTATTCCATAGCACTTAGCCATGGCTGTTAAAGTGGAGTCGAACTGCATTAGTTCTTCAACTTAGATGCACCATGATCACTCCTTGCAGGATGAAGGGGAAAAGAGGATTGGATGGGGAGGCATTTAATGAGAGTGCAGGTGAGTGGTAAAATTGGCAAGTAAGCCATAAAGGCAATTGGTTGGTAGGTTTATGCATACTGGGAAGCAAAACAAGGTGGTACCTGTTGATCTACATTAGCAGGGACGCCCACTACATGACTCTCCATCCTGCTGTCCCCCAGCTCTGCATTTATCTCATTCCCTTTGTCCTATTGTTCACAGCTGGATTACATTTACAACAGCTTGCTGTCATTGGTTGATGAGCACAGTTTTATAGAGTCTTAAGTTGATGTTTCATATACTTATGTATTTTACTCTATTCTATTTTATATTGTGTTTTATTTTATGTTCTGTTTTTAGGCACCTTGTGCCATGTGTAAGCCGCCCCAAGTCCCTTTGGGGAGATAGTGGTGGGATACAAGATGATGATGATGATGATGATGATGATGATGATGATGATGATGATAATGATGATGATTATTATTATGCTGAAGCAATGGGATACTCTGGGTTTTTGGCCAAGCCTCATTTAGTCCCATGATAAGAATCAGAATCGAAAGAACCTCATAATGACAATTAGGAGTAACTGCACACTGAGTGTGGGCTATTAAGCCTGGGCAGACAAGCCCTCTGTTTGGATTCTCTAAAATCTCTACTTTTTCGTGTCATACTGGTGAACACATGTTTTGGTGCCCTAAATATTAGATCTGTTTCTGGGTATAATTGACCTGCTGATTACAAAAATGGCACCGGTTTTCCCATCAGTTCTAGGTTTTGAGATGCCGTATACCAGTCTTCATCTGCTCGCTCATAAAAAAAACCCCTCTTGATAACCTTAACTAAGAAACTAGCTTATATGGTCCATCCAATGCAAGTTTCTGAATCAGCACCCCAACTAATCCCAGGAACATGCCTAAAAACCAAGACACCAATAATTTTTTTGGTTAGGTTGTGATATTAGTTTACAAATTAACACCAGTTCAGACTTCATGTGAGGCCAAGCCAGACTCTACCAAACTGACTTTCATGCAGACTGATTTATCTTTTAAATGTTTGAACACTTAAACAAAGATCAGATTTTAAAATGATTGAGACCCCAAGTAGCGTAGTTTCCTTCTTCTGGTGCTAACTTTCATATTCTTCTCTATTAGCAAAGACTTCTTTCTGGATTGGTTAGTTCAAGAAAATGTCACATCCATTAGGTATGAAAGGGGGGCGAATCCAGAAATCAGCAGATTGTGCCATGATTTTCTAATAGTTCTAAATGGCACAAGTGAATGTTCCATACTCAAGTTAAATCCAGTGTTAATCCCAACTAGAGTACCATTAGAACTCTGTTAAGTACTAACAAATAAAAATTCTATTGATTCAACAGGCATACTCTAGCAGGGACTAAAAATTTGATATAGGCCTTTGTTTATCCATGTTTTTAAAAATCTTTTCACACTCTACCTATGCAGGCATTGAAATAGTAGAATAAATGACAAACACAATATCCACACGTTCAGTTAAATGTCTGTATACAGTTTCCATGGATACAATTGTCTGTTGATAGTATTCTCTCCGCAAGATCCGGAACTCTTCTTGTCTGACACTCTCAGTTGTGGAGAAAGTGCCTTGAAATGTTAGCACTACTGCTTTGGGAATGAGAAAAAAGACCAATCGCAATATTTTTATCCCCATAGGAAAAAAATACCACTGCAAATCAATAAAGTGAAAGTGAATTGTATTAATAGCCAAACCAACCATTTATGCTTCGTTGCTGGGAGCACAGAGAGGCACTTCAAGTTGTTCAACATGGACCGGGCAAAGAATATCAAGTGAGTTATTCCAATGGTTTATCATTAGAAAGAAGTCTGATTTCCACCATCTTAAGATTGGTTCACCAAATAGTTGTGTTTAATCTGAGAAAAGTGAAAGTAGAAGAAGACTATAAACTGGAGGGGAAAAAAGTTCAGTTTCTTAACAGTGAATAGGAAACATATGGCTCAACAATGCAACAGGCACCAAGGGATCTACCCTAAGAACCCATTTTCCAGGTTCTGCAATCCAGAAAATGACTACATTCCTTCCATGTCCATCATGATCATGAAGAGTTGGCTTTTGCCCTTCTGCCTCTTGATGTTCTTCAGTGAAATTTTTTCTCAGGATTGTAACAATCTTCGCCATGATCTAAAAGGAGCCAACAAAGCGAACTTGGAACTTCTGAATGTCAAAATGGGATCAACCATTCCTCTGCAATGTGTAGATGATGTAATCAATTTCTCATCCAACCCCAATGAAGAGAATCTCCCAAGCATTTATGATTTCGAAGAGGCAAACGCCACAGTGGCCATAGATGAAATCCTCCAACAGATAAGTTACCTCTTCAACCAAAACCATACCAAATTGTCCTGGGATGAGAACTCCATTGCCTCTTTCAAACTTGGAGTGGAAGATGAAATTAAGAAATTGACACCGTGCTTGGGTGAAAGGATTGATGAGTTGAGAGAGAAAGTGAAAAAATACTTCCAACGAATCAACAACCACCTGAAAGATAAGGAATATAGCCTGTGTGCCTGGGAGATTGTCCAAATGGAAGTTAGGCAGTGCTTAATAGTGATTGATCAACTCATCTCAAGGATCCCCAAAAAAGGTACTCTGCGGTCGCAAAACCCATGCTTTTATTTAAAACTGGATTAAAAGGGTAGTCTGATTAGTAGGTACCGGTTAAGTCTAATTAGATTTCTAATTATACTACTTTTCAACTCAGAACTAATTGAACAACTTGCTGCCTTTCATCATGTCATGTCATTAAATGAAATCACCCAAATCTCAGTTTGCAGGTGTGATATAGATTATGTCCCTGAGTCAGAAGGTGAAATGAGAGGCATATTCGTTTGTAGAAGAGCCTGTGTTAAGGGAAAGAGTGGGACAAATTCTTCCTCTTTGTGTGTGGCATTGTCCTTGCACCATTGGCTCAGAAGCATACTTTCCCACCAATTTAAAAGATGAAAACCAGAACACATCAGAGTATGGTCAAGAGTGCAAAAGCGATGAGTATCTCTTATGTAAAATTCTGTTTTGGATTGAGCCATGGGAACTGAAGTGCTGTCAAACTGCATTGATTCCACAATGTAGATCAGTGGTTCCCAACCTTTTTTTGATCAGGGACCACTTTAATCAGGGATCACTCTCTAAAATTAGTACAAAAAGGGTTACGAATTGGTTTTTGGTCACCTTTAGATTTGGTTTCAGAAAATTCCATTGAATAGACTACATTAGCTCTAGTTTCCGATACAGAATATTTGCTACTTGGTAGTCACCATCTGTTCACCCACAGAAAACCATATTTAATAATCTAGAGCTCACGTGATGTATCCAATGCAATTTTCTGAATCAGCATGCCAAAACCCTCAGGAACAGGCCTAAAAATGAAGAAACCAAGGTGCCCCCACTTCCAGGTGCCATATGGAATGGCTCCGCTCAGGGGGAGGAGGGGCTTGTTGTCACATCTTTTGTGAGTAGTCAGCCTCTTCCCTTCTGACATTCTTGTTGCCTCAGCACTATAAGTGTGTTTCATGATACCAGTCAATCTTGTTGCAATAGTGTAATAATGGTGAAGCCGTGGACCATATTTTAGTTATTGGGGTCCACTGGGGGTCCACAGACCACAGGTTGGGAACCACTGATGTAGATGCACCCCTTATATGTAGATCAGAAAATAGCAATGCCTTGAATAGTTAAAAGAGTTTAGATTGGACCAGAGGAAAAGGCAGCAAATAAGTCTGCCACTCCTTTCAGGATGAATCAAGCTCCCTTCCCCATTTAACTGAAGTTTAAAATAAAATTTTAAAAGAGAGAACAGGACAAATCTTTGTGCAAAACACCAAACGAAGGGTGGTGTTTGAAAGATGCAGAGGGCTAGTGAAAGCAAAATGTTCAGCCACCTCCAAAGGATTGTGGATACCATAATCTATGGATTTTCAAGGGTAAAATATTGTGTCTTATATAAAATGCTGAAATCAGTGTTTGTTTGGGGTTTTTTTTAATTTTTTTAACATTTTCAAGCTATGGATACTTGACTCTGTGGCTACAGACTCTGTGGATATGGAGGGCCAGCTGTACTTTGTAGAATAACATCTTTCTTTGGTAGCAATCAATAAAATTGGAGCAGTTTTACATTATAAGGGATTTATTATGCAACCCCCCACTAGTGAGAAATGCAACTAGCCATATTAAATCAATGTTTGGTTCTAGACACGCCAAGTGTTTTTTCTCAGCAGAACACACTTCGGTATTTCACTGTTGGCTAAACCGTGATGCCTAATGGCTTAAATACTAGCTCACCAACTTCCCTTAGCACAATGAAAGAGGAGAGGAGGAGTTTTCTGATAACATTAGCAGAGGTCCTCCAGCACCCACACAAAAACATCAATGAGTGTCGGAATTTTTTTTTAAGGAGAGAGGGAAGGAACAATGGTGGGTACCTGAAATCAAAGGATCTATGAAGGCTAAAGAAACTTATTTCACCTTACAGCTCCTGTTATAATATTGGAGGTGAATGAGACAGAGACTGAGACAGAGCCACCAGCAAAACAACCCGAGTCTCCAGCACCATGTACTCCACAAGGAGGCTCAAATGCAGGGGCCAAGCAAGAGGTTCAGCTAGGTGAGTATTCAATAGCCTTATGTCTTAGGAGGATCTTTCTGTGCCACTACAGCCACCAAATGGGCTTCCATATGGAGCATGGAAGCTCAGGAGGTTCTGCTCTTTCTATATGCATTCTGTGACTAAGTATAACCTAATGGGAATCATGGCAGTCGGCGAGACATTCTGCATGGGGAATTGCAAGAAGGTCAAATTTATTGGTGTAAAATTTATATGTTAACCCCCCCCCCCAGGAATTTGAAGGTCACTTTTGTAGTGTTACCAGAAATGTTTTTGGCATTATGGATAAAGAACTGGACAGTAAAAATGGATTACCATATATACTGGAGTATAAGCCGATCCGAATATAAGCTGAGGCACCTAATTTTACTACAAAAAAACTGGGAAAGCATACTGACGCGAGTATAAGCCGAGGGTGGGAAATGTGGCAGCTACTGGTAAATTTCAAAATAAAAATAGATACCGATACAATTACATTAATTAAGGCATCAGTAGGTTAAATGTTTTTGAGTATTTACATAAAACTGTAATTTAAGATAAGACTGTCCAACTCTGATTAAATCATTATTCTAACCTTCTTCAATGTAAATGTGCTTAAGTATCCTTCCAATGATAATAAAGAGAGTAAAATAATAAATGTAACAATAATAATAAAGTAAAATAATGGAAATGTAATAATAACAGTAATAAGAGAGTAAAACAATAAATGTAATAAGAATAATACATAGATTAAAATAATAAATGTAATATAATAATAATAGAGTAAAATAATGTAAATGTGATGATAATAATAATAATAGAGTAAAATAACAACAACAACCCAGTAAAATAATAAATAACTTTGACTCGAGTATAAGCCGACTCGAGTATAAGCCACCCGAGGGGGACTTTTTCAGTCTAAAAAAGGGGCTGCAAAAACTCAGCTTATACTAGAGTATATAGGTACTTCTTTGGTATATGACAACAGCAGCAAGAATATTATTTGCTCAAATTTGGACATTGACTGAATTGATAATGGAAGAATGGGTAGTTAAGGTTGCTGAGTTAGCCCAAATGGGCAAATTAATGTGAATAAGCCAAATTTTAAAACTGTTTGCAGATTATTTGACCAATAAACTATTCAATAATGTCTTCGTATGTGGTCAATTTTAATAGGATTATTTAGTTGGATCTGTGCTGTTGCTGTTGTTATATTAAAGAAACATGTATGCTTATGATTCAGAATGTTTGAGGTCTATATTACATTTTCAAAAGATGAAATGGCCAGAATCTAGGTAGGTCCTAAAACTGTGAGAAAAAATATATAGAGTTCTTTCAAGTTCTCAAGATCTGGTCTGGAGGACTAGGAGGGAAGCCCTCCAGACCAGAGTTTTCGATGTCATGGAGGACTGAAATCAAGGTAGGAAGAGAAATGAAAAAAACTCAACTAGAGTGAGTTCTCCACACATATGTGTTCTGGCCATATCTGTGTGGAGAACCTCACCTCCCCTGAGATTTACTTCTTTTATCAGTTGGAGCCTGGCCAGTGAGATGTCAAATTGTGGAAAGAATCTTCACCAGTTTTCTCCTCCTTTCCAGATTTGCCTGCAGTCATAGATACAGTGATACAAGAGCAGCAGCTGAATGAACGTAGCAACATGAAGGCAGCAACCTGATCATGCAGCTTTCACCCGTGTTCTTCCCGTGGCGTAGTTCTACAGAGAAAAACAGCTGCTTTCCACTTCACCTGTTACAATTGTTTGACTAAGTTTAAAATTCTGAAAAATTCAGTGCTTCACTGAAGCCCTAGACATAAAATAGACCAAAATACAATATACTAGAGAAAGTCCAAAGATATGATCTTTCACCATTTTCTACAAGCATGCTTTAAATTTGCTCTGAATCCCAAGTTTGCATTGAACATTACCAGCATGTCCCTAAGTTGTCAGCTATGAGGCTTCATTCACTTAAGCCCAACAAATATAATATACTCAGTTCTAAAGATCTGTACCTGTCAAAAGGGCCGTAAGCTTTATTCATATTGTCAGTCAACCTAAATATGTGAAGTTGTTTAATGCCCTTATTTAAACTCGTTTATTTTCTGTCTTTCTTCAAATATTGCTTCCCCCAAGTATTAAACATACATTTCTATTAAAAACTTTCCAATATATATGTAGTTTGATGCCTTTGGTAAATTTTAAAAGAAGGAAATGGTGACATGGGGCATTATCACACCATGCTATTGTACCATCAGAACAATGCATTAGGACCACTTTCGCCTCAGCCTTACTGCAAAACATTGTTGCTTATCAGACATTTCTGAATTGCCGTGTTACTGAAAATCTGGGTTATCTGCCTTCCTGACAAATAGCCATGGATTGATGGATGGATGGATGGGTGGATGGATAGGTGGGTGGATAGATAGATAGATAGATAGATAGATAGATAGATAGATAGATAGATAGATAGGGTGGGTGGGTGGGTGGATGGGTGGATGGATGGATGGATGGATGGATGGATGGATGGATGGATGGATGGATGGATGGATGGATGGATGGATAGGTGGATGGATGGATAGGTGGATGGATGGATAGGTGGGTGGGTGGACAGGTGGATGGATGGACGGATGGATGGATGGATGGATAGATGGATGGATAGATAGATGGGTGGGTGGACAGGATGGATGGATGGATGGTGGGGGGTGGATGGATAGAGGGATGGATAGAGGATGAATGGATGGATAGGTGGGTGGAGTGGATGGACGGATGGACGGATAGACGGATGGACGGATGGACGGATGGACGGATGGACGGATGGACGGATGGACGGATGGACGGATGGACGGATGGACGGATGGACGGATGGACGGATGGACGGATGGACGGATGGACGGATGGACGGATGGACGGATGGACGGATGGACGGATGGACGGATGGACGGATGGACGGATGGACGGATGGACGGATAGACGGATGGACGGATGGACGGATGGACGGATGGACGGATGGACGGATGGACGGATAGACGGATGGACGGATGGACGGATGGACGGATAGACGGATGGGCGGATAGACGGATGGGCGGATAGACGGATGGGCGGATAGACGGATGGGCGGATAGACGGGTGGGCGGATAGACGGGTGGGCGGATAGACGGGTGGGTGGATAGACGGGTGGGTGGATAGACGGGTGGATAGACGGGTGGATCGACGGGTGGATCGACGGGTGGATCGACGGGTGGATCGACGGGTGGATCGACGGGTGGATCGACGGGTGGATCGACGGGTGGATCGACGGGTGGATCGACGGGTGGATCGACGGGTGGATCGACGGGTGGATCGACGGGTGGATCGACGGGTGGATCGACGGGTGGATCGACGGGTGGATCGACGGGTGGATCGACGGGTGGATCGACAGATGGATCGACAGATGGATCGATAGATGGATCGATAGATGGATCGATAGATAGATAGATAGATAGATAGATAGATAGGATTCACACAGATATACTATATGACAGATATAGTATGATAGGTTTGAAAGGGACCCCTAAAGAAGGACAATTATATGTTGCATGTTCCAGAGTAGGCAAAGCTGACAATTTCTGCATCATCACTGACAAAGAAACAAAAAAAAGGTCCGGTTTACCCACAAGCATTACTAGTTACACATATTAGAAACCAACACTTTTTCATTACTTTATCTTCCAGATCAACAGAGTGGCAGGAGACACTTATTATCTTATAAAACTACAAATCACGGAATGCCATAGCATTGAGCATGACAATTAATTTGGTGTCAAACTGCTATAGATGTGCAGCATAGATACAGCTAAAATCACATGGGGCAATCTCAGACCACCACAGGAAGAGCATTCAATGATTTACCAGAGAGCACCATCTGTGGGTTGCATTGAGAAACTGCAAAAGAAGGGCTGCCCACCCTCAGTTTTCCTGTTTACAGTTTTTTGACTTTCTATGTAACATTTGTGAATTGTTATACTATCTTTAATTTTATCAGAACATTGAGTGTTCCATCTATCCACCCATCCATCTATCCATCCATCCATCCACCCACCCACCTATCCAAATGGATCATGTAAATGAAAAATCAATGCAGAAATGCAATTCATTCACCATATCACAGAACAGTCTGGGAGCCCTTCCACAGAGCTCTATATTCCAGAATATCAAAAGAAGAAATCCCACATTATCTGAGAGTGGACTCGGATAACCCAGTTCAAAGCATATATTGTGATACTCTGGGATATAGGGCTGTGTGGAAGGGCCCTAGGAGAGAATGTCTCATAAGAACCCTGTAGTGGTCGGTTACATGAACTAGTACAATTCAGTAGTCAGGCAGCAATAAGCTTACAACAACCTTGTAAAGCAGTAATCATCAAACTGTTTTGTGACTGTTTTCCACTTTAGGTAGGGCTTTTGGGTCTCTCTAATAGTGTCTTGCTTGGGCAGCCTTTGTATTGGTGGCAGTACAGTTTGTTACCCCTTCTGCTTTGTCTTCTGAAGCATAGGGTTTTCTTCCCAAATGAAAGCTGCCTTTGGGACAGTTCAGAATTCATTCACATTATTCCCCAATATTCTACATTATTCCACTCTGAGAAGCTAAAACCTGGAGTCACGGTCTTGTCTTCAGATCAATATAAGAAACTCTAACAATTTTGATAACAAGGAGCAGATGAAACAAATTTAAAAAGACAAGAGATTGAAATTTGTTCATTCGTTCAGTCGTCTCCGACTCTTCGTGACCTCATGGACCAGCCCACGCCAGAGCTCCC